AGTGTTGAGATACTTGAAAGGTACTGCTGACTTTGGCATTTGGTATAGCAAAAGTGATGGAAAGGTTGAAGGTTTTGTTGATAGTGATTGGGAAACAACACTTTTAGCTGCCCCAGCCCTTCTTGCTTGTAGATTTTCTTTACAAGCATGGAGATACAGCCTGGAAAGGCGCCTTGCTGGAGCATGAACCTTACTCATGGAGCTTCCATGCTCGGCCACTACTGAGTATAAAGCAACCTCAATAGCAGCAGCTTCTCTTAACTCTCCTTCAAGCATCTTTATCTTGTTTTCCAAGTTCTCAACCTTGCTGTCTAAAATGGCATTTCTGGCTTCCCTTGGATAAATCTTGGCATCTTTTCTATCAATGCTTCTAATGTTCCCTCCACTGTTTTGGGCATCTCCATGAAAATGGGTTCTTTAAATGTCATTGTTGTTGGATTATTTTTCGTTTGTGGGGGTCTTCAATTGTCTCTAAGTTTTGATGTTTTTGAAAAATCTTAATCTGGGTCTTCACTTTTTAGCCATGATCGTTTTGTTTTGTGTTGTGTGTTGGTTAACCCGTGTTTTCCCCCTTTCTGCTTTAAAGCAACTGCTCTTGCTGCTGTTAAGGCCTCCTTTTCTATTTGTTGTTGTTTTTTCTCGGGTTGTTCAATTAGGAAAATTTTTGTTACCCTTTTAACTTCAAACAAAAAGAAATGTTATAAAGTTGCACCGTGTAACAGAATACACTGGTAGTTGCAGTAGGTTTGAATTAGCAATACTTTTTTTATTTTTGAGAAATTTGTGGGCTGTGCCTGTGAAGAGAAACTAAAAAAGTTTTAACTAGATAGCCTTTCCCCATATTACGAAGTATGCAGTATGAGTACACAGTTCATGTCACTTTGAGAATTTTTAACTATGTCCCTAAACTAAAAAATTTGTAATTGGGTCATTCATCTTTTTATATTTTTGTAATTTAGTCCTCGGAATTAGATGTCTATGTACAATCTGTGAAATTTAACACAATGTCTTATATCCTCATAATTGGACAGCCACATCAGATTATAAATAATGTATATTAGAATTTATTCTTGGTGTACTAAATTTCATGCTTTGTAATTGCAAGGTTTAGACTAAGTTAATTTTATGTAGTTCGGGACTACAATGCTTACATTGATATTTGAAACATGATATTCAACTTTCTCGTTTTCTCTGTTCATTTCCTTTTTCTTTTATGGTTTCTATCAATTTCTCTTTCCTGTGTTTGTAAAAGTAAACTAAAGCCCTAGGATGAGAATGATTTCTCTCATTTTCTCAGTTCATTTCCTTTTTTTTTGTTTCTATCAAATTCTCTTTCCTGTGTTGGTAAAAGTCAGCAATTTGAGCATTGTACTCCAACTAGAGTCTATATATGCAGCATTTTTTAAGTTCTGATATATCTGATTTCTAAAACAATGTTACTGTATTAATTTATATGAAATAATATCATGAACATCAATGCCATTCTAATATCGAAACGGCCCGTTTTCAAAAAGCAGAACGACCCATTCTGAAACCAGAACGTCCCGTTCTCAATCTCAGCAGAACGGCCCGTTCTCCCTCTGGAACGTCCCGTCCCGTTCTCCTTGTTGAAACGGCCCGTTCTAGGCCCGTTCTCAACTTGAAATTTCAGTATATTTTTATTGCTTGGAACGGCCCGTTCCAAGTTACCTTTTTACCCCTCAAACTTTAATAAAATTGCGAAAATGCCATTAATAATAAAATTACAAAAATACCCTTATTCCTTTATTAAAATTACAAAATGCCATTAATTACAAAAATACCTTTTAAAAAAATTGGAGTGTTACACACCACATGGAAACAGAAGGGTAAGCTAGAGTTCAAAAACCAATCATACAAGTACAGAATAAAATCTATACTACACATCATCCAACTATCAATCATGTTCATAGAGTCACACCATACACTCTATCCAACACCACTCATGCATAAAATGCAATCCACCAATCATGAAGTCAAACACCACACTTCATCATATTAATAATCATACAATAAATGCATCTCATGACAGAGATCAATGCATATCAATCATCTAATGCGTCGTCACACATACACCTAGGAGATCTCCATAACAATAGAGCTATATAAGTGACATTCATCCTACCGAAACCACCCCAACCGTTTTCACGCCCAATGCGCCCACTCGGTCACAGCTAAACAGGATATAATCCTCACTCAGGTTTACTCGGATGATGTCACTTACACAATTGGAAGTCCAGATCTACTGTCAGGTATAGCATAGCTGGGTACGGGCTTACCACCACCTTGGCATGCATAACCAAGTCAATTGTGGAGTTCGCCCACCGACTATCCGCAAGGATCCACGCACCTTCCCGAGTACTTGGTTAAGGGAATAACCCTCGACCTTATACCCCGCTCCAACACTAGCTAAGGACTTAGAGGAGACTCACTCAACCCAGTGGCCTATCTGAGCACCACTCTCACCGACTATCCGCAAGGATCCACGCACCTTCCCGAGTACTTGGTTAAGGGAATAACCCTCGACCTCATACCCCGCTCCAACACTAGCTAAGGACTTAGAGGAGACTCACCCAACCCAGTGGCCTATCTGAGCACCACTCTCCCAAATCCAGTGGCCTCCCAGAGCACCACTCTCATATATCAGTGGCCTATCCAAGCACCACTCTCAAGAAACTCTATGTGAGCTCTTCCAGTTCGAAAATATTTTTCCTCTCCTCAAGTCCTAGGCTAGACTCATGCCATAGGCATCACATGCAATCATGCATCATACATCATAATGGTCTGCCCACCATCATGATTAACAATCATACACATGTCATAAGACATCACATGCAATAATGCATCATACATCATAAATGATCTACCCATCATTATGATCAATAAACATACTCATATGAACATATACATATGTCATATCATATTCAAACATTCATACGTATCATCACAAAAAATACATATGAATCACACAGCACCATACATCATATATCATACATACATGATATAAAATTTCAACTTTAAACATGCATAAACATCAATTTAAATCAATTATTTATAAATATAATCACGCACAGCACAGTCAGCTCGCGCCTAGCCTATCACCAACCCAAGAGCTCTAAGTTCTTCCACGCTTGGCGCGCTCAACCTGCGCCCGGCCTAATCTCAGTCAGAGAGTTCAAAACTCTCATCCAAACCAACAAATCCAGTCACATGCAAACACAAAAATACAATGCATAGGCTCCATACAACTTACATAAACTTAGATCTCACATGCATCCAACCTATGCATCAAAATCATCAAAATCCTCCTTTTTCTCAAAACCTCAAAAATAAGATTTTCTTCAATCCATCTATGGATTCTTAGCATTCATGCATCAATTGAGTTTCTAAACTCACATGCAACCTAAACAACAAACAGTCTAGCTTCCCTTACCTGAAGATTGACTCAAAATAGTCAATAACTGAGAAGAAGTAGAACTCCCTTCGTAGCTCATCCCGGAACTTCAATCTACCCAAAGCAAGCTTTCTAATCCAGAGACCTTCTTTCTAAAACTTCTCTCTAAAAACTCACATTCTCCTAAAGGCCCCAACCCTTATTTATAGACTTTTCAGATTGGACAGAACGGCCTGTACCGATACTAGAACGGCCCATTCTGAACTCCCTCAATACGCACAAAAACCACCTTCAGAACGGCCTGTTCTGAAATCAGAACGGCCCGTTCTGGGACTCATCCAAAACGGCCCGTTCTCCTTCCAAAACGGCCCGTTCCCAATCAGTAGTTTGGAACTGCCCGTTCTGATTTGGGAACGGCCCGTTCTGGCTATTGAATCTTTTTTTTTTCTACGTTACAGTTAATGTAAAAAAAACTTTATATTGACAATGTACATGTGATTAACTCTTTTTAATTTTATAGGGTTTTTTTAAAGATTTTAGTGGATTAGGGTTTTTTTTTACAATCTCGGTGTGACTTGCAACCTCGAGGAACTCGTAAAATTTTATATTTTTAATTAATAAATTATAATAAAGAATGCGTTGAAAATTGATAAAAACTAATTTTTCTGACATTCGATAGATAACGGAAAATGATATATATGAACATTACCTAAAAATAAAATAAATAATAATTAACATTACTACAGTATTTATTTATAACATGAGAAATGCTATTTGACACCTTGAACTTAATTTCTTTCTTTCTCCGATCTTCTTGCCTATCTCGTTAAAATTGTATTTTGTTAAAATAATTATATTTATTTTATTTAGGTTTAATTACCTTTTGTGTCATCAAAGATTCACTTTTTTACCAGTTTTGCCTCTAATTTTTTCTTGTGAATTTTGCTTCCAAACAAACTTGTAAATTTTGGTCATTTATATCTTCTAGTCAAAATACTAACAGAAGTGAACATAAATAATTAAATTACGTGAAATGTTAGACAAAATACATTTATATAATATTATTTTATTTAGTTTAAAATATTATTTAATTAATATCAGTTTAATGAGTTTAACCACTATTAAACTATTAAACTTTAAATTAGTACCTTGATCAATCAAATTTTAAAAATATTAATTTTTCTAATTAAAGTGAGAATATGCATTAAATCCATATTGTTATCACAGTATAACTATAATTACGCATTACTCGTTCCATATTCACAAACACCTGAAATTCCCAGATATAAGACGGGCAGTGCCTTCCCAGTTCCTACACATGTAACCAGAGTTTTTTTTGGGCATGGTTTGGGGCAGGACTAGCACAATTTTTATAGGCATTAAAAATATCATTTAACAAATATAAAGACATTTTCAAAGATAAGAGCATTTCCAACCGAGGAGAAAATTTGGTTGTACTTCTTTAAATACTTATGGTATTATTTTCTAGACAGAATTGAAGTGTTTAATATAAACCTTTATTATGTGAATTTTTTAGATGAGGCTCTAACTCCAATATAATTGGAGAACAACACAAAATGCTCCTGAGGAGGCAAATAGACAGTCCTCTAATAAAAGTTCAACCTTTCACCTTACATAATAATTTGACCACCTACTGTAAACCATGTCTAATAAATTACTGTTAAAGCTACTCTCTATTGATGACTAGTGAATTAGTGGTACAGCTAAAAGAAACGAGTAAATGTTTAGAAGTAACATAACACATGATCCTAATATTTAAGTTGCAAAATCATGTGGACAGTTCAACCACGGAAAACTCCTGGTGATCTATACCATTATCAAACATAAATGAGTGTTTTGACCAATCACATCATGGAACAAATTCTGCAACTTATATAATCAATGACTGACCAGGTAATTACAAACTCTCCGACTGATGTTTGTAAATCTAGGAAACCATGGCATTGGTATCATCTTCATCAGCTTCTCCTGTTTCACTGAACATGTACTGACTTTGATACTCCATTAGGTACTGTGTTGATCTTTTGACATCCAAAAACAGATTGTAAACCCGATTTATATCATCCAATTCCACTGTCTTTCCCTTCCGCTTCTGGCATGCCAATGCAGCTGCTGTGATTAGATTAATAGCATATCTCAAGGATGTTTCTACACCTATTTTGGTTAACAAATGCTTTGCACCATCACTCATTTCTACGTCTTCCTCTTGGCATCTGATATCCAAAATTTTGCGAATTTCATCCTCTGTGTACGGTTGAGTAGAGATGATCAGTAGGCGATCCAGCAGATCAATGGGAATCCCATGTGGGGATTTGTAATTGGTGCCTCTAATGGTCGTGATGCCTCTGTTGGTCGCAACAACTAATATGGGAGACATCTCATTCTCCAATGCCCGATTGAGGAATGAAAAGCACTCTATGTCAAGCATGTGCACCTCATCAATGAAAAGGACACCAGGCACAATCTCTGCCTTTCCTTCTTCTTTCCACTCTGCCACTTTGGTGTCAATTTGCTCTCTGACTTCCGCACGAATTTCACCCGTATCACCAGTGAAAAGAGCCAAAAAACCCTGCGTTCTGAAATTAACATGACATAATTAGATGATAGGATGAACTAAAATGCAACCTAGAAGGCAATTTATAAGCCTCATTAACAAGTTAGAAGTATATCTCCTTCAATGACAAAATAGGTAAACAGTTAATAACAGATAAGTTCGAAAACTTAATTAAAAGCTTCATATCCTTCGGAATGTAGTAAAACATAACTGCAAAACACACAACACTCATGGATCAAAGCTTTCATTACCAATTTTACTAAAAACAAATCTCAATAAACTGAATAAAGACTAAAGAAAATAATACACTTCAGCAAGGACCAATGATCCCCACACAAAAATCGAGTGTGTCCCCCCTTGACAAGTCTCAAGTCTAAATTCCAACTCCACTTCCACACCACAAACATCAAAATCATTCATGTAAATCCTCATTCTTTTAACAACATCTAATCCAACTCTGGGAGCATATTAAACAAGGAATCAAAAACATGAAAAATACACAAAAGTCTTGGCATGGACCCATCCACCAATTCAAGATTTAAAGCACACAGCAATACTTTTAAAACATGTCAGGATAAACCAAAACACAAACTAGTTCCATGAATCCCCCAGCTCCACGATATAGCCCCTGCCTAGATTATAAATAATTACTTGAACTATAACCAACTTTTAAAAAACAATCCTCAACTGCAATGTCAAGATTTGTGGCTCTCTGCGACCACATCAGCTGCATTAGACCACAATTCCCTACAACACCAACAATCGTGACAAAACATAGTCTGCAATTTAAAACCAAGTCTAAAACTAATAACAACATATTCAGTTGCAATGTCAACCACATACGCCACAAGCATGAGTAGAATGTAAAACCTTAACTAGAGCAGAATTAGAATAAAGTGAAAGAGTAACGAAATTGTGAAAAAGAAAAGATGAAGAACCTGCTATTGATAACATCAATCTCGTGAAGAGTGACGCAATGCACAACCTCCTTCCTCTTCTGCAACTCCCCATCGGGGCACTGGACGAACTTAACCTGGGGGCCCATGGCATCGAAATCCCTGGAGCGAGAGAACGACCTTCCAAGCTTGGTGATCTTCCCAGAAGCCTTGTCAATGGCAATAACATCTCCACTACTCACCTTCTCCTTCCCCAAGGCCTCAATCATTTTAGCGCCGAGGTCGTAAACGGTCTCCATCTCCGTCGTTTTGAGCGTGAGCTTGCCGGTCTTGGCGGCGGCGGCGGCGGAGGCGGGGCGGTCGATCTGGACCTCGACGACCTCGCCCTCGATGACCTCGGTCTCCTCCTTGATGCGGACGCCGATGGCCTTGCGGAAGGCTTGGGTGAGGGCTTCGGTTTTCGACATTTCGAGGGAGAAGAGCTCGCTGCCGGCGATCATGGCGAAGGGGGTCTCCAGGCCGAGGGACTTCGCCATGCCCATGGCGATGGCGGTCTTGCCGGTGCCCGGCTGCCCGGCGATCAGGACGGCGCGCCCCGCGATCTTCCCCTCTCTTATCATCTGGAGGATGACGCCGGCGGCCTTGCGAGCGGCCACCTGGCCCACCATGCCCTCCGAGACGGCGCGTGGGGAGAGGGAGGAGTCCAGGCCCAGGCCGCGGATGTGGGAGTGCGCGCCCACGCGCTCGATGCGGGTCAGGTCGCGGCTCTCCGAGAGTCTCAGCTCCGCCATGGTTGCGGCGGCGATAAGAGGGGTTTTGTTTAGGGTTTTGAGGGTTTGGTTTGGACTCTGGAGTGTGCTTGTTTGTGACTATAAAAATGGAACCTTGGCTTAAACCCTCTCTTTTTTGTGTCCGCTCCGTCTACCCATTTTCCGATTATTTTCATGTTTTACAAAATTTTAAATCATATGTTAGTTTGGGAAAATATTCTAAAATGCATAGTTCATATATAAAATAATTTTACACGTAATCATAACGAATTTATTAATTTTTACGATAATTATTAAAATTATATATTAACATTTATAAATGCATAATCATTAAACTTTTGAAAATAATAACTATTTATTGTATAAACATAATTGTTCCTATCGGAAATCTGTTGTAGAGCTGATCCGCTAGGTAAGATCGGTGAGCCTCCTTCACGGGTACGCTGGTGTTCCAAGATGGGGGTGGTACCTGCAAAAGAGACTCTGATGCTAAAGTTAGTGTTTGTGAGAGTATGAATCTCGTATATGTAATGCACGTACCTTAGTGTGAATTAGGGTTGTTTTGGGCCTGAGATAAGATATGATAGGATTAAATGATGGATCCCGTCTAAAGCGAGATCGCTCGAGATCGGTTATGATCTGCTTAAATGCCGAGCTTACGTCGCGTAGCGCGTGCCCGACCTCGTTTTGTGCAGTAATGCCGAGCTCGGAGCTCGGCTTCGCGGTACGAACAGTATAATAATTATCTCCATATAACAAAATTTTAACACTTGAATCTTGATTGACAAAAAAAAATAAAAGGAGAGAAAAGAAGAGAAAGAAAAATTGTAAAAAAATAAATAAGAAATAGAGTAAAAATAAAAATATTTGACAAAGGATAAATAAATTGGAAGTTTATTTTTTTATAAATAATTTTTTTAAAATAATAATATTTAATTATTATT